AAGGAGGATTCCTCTAAACTAGTGTACGCTAGCAGATCATAAAGACCAAGTTTAACTCGGTTTCGGGGGCTAAAACATATTCTATTCATATGAATTAGGTAGTTTTAGATGACCACATATATTTCTAAGTCAGTATGAACCATCGCTAATTGGGTGTGCCTTACCAACAAGAGGCTAGCCTTGCAGGATTCACAACTTCAGCATGACCTGAAACAAAGAATTGATTAAAACGTACTGCAGCGTAGTATTTTTATGCCGCCTAGTTGATCAGCTATCAATTCGTGCAGTCAGGTGTGATCTTAATAAAAATAAAAATCAGCTGTGCAACATCTCGAAATAGTAACACGGGTAGGGCTAAAGCTGAGAGCTGACGGTACATAGGTAGCTAACACCAACATAGCATTCGCGTATTATTCGGACTCGGACTAGATCGGACAAATATGGAAAATGGACATATCGGCGTTGTGTTAGATAGATGTAACTGAAATTCGGAAACGAAACTCGGAAATATGCGGCGAGCGCAAACGTTCCGAAGAATATGTTCCCAGTACCGAGGAGGTCATGTTGTGTTGTGTGGTGTTGGATGTCGAATGTTGGTTACGGCACGGTAATTTGATAAACTGCATACATCCGCATTTTCATGATATGATAATGATATCAATGATCGAACATATTAAAATGAAAGAAAAGGGGGAATCAATTAAGCTTAATGTACTGTGCCAGATCCCGACAATCTGGGTTCAATCGCAACGCCCCAAACCCAACTCCATGGATTGAAGGCAGAGGCTATCGGGAGCATCTGCCCGCTATCGGGACGTTCGTTCCTATGATGCTTTTGTGCAATCCAACGGTTTGTATGGGTTGTATGTATGGGTTGTATGGTGCCTCCCGCGCCGTCGAGATTCGGCTCATCCCGATACCACAAACCATAGATCTCGATTTTAGGGATTATAGAGCTAATCTATGTACCTACCTACCTAGGTTTAAAAAATAATAAAAACCTTATTGCGACCGCGCTTTTTACAAGACCCATTCTAAGTCAATTGGATTATCGTCGGAAACGAAACTGGTGGTGGCCTGAGATGGCTTGGCCAGGTAGCAAATAAATGGCCCACAACAACGCAGTGGAAGTTGAAACGACGCAGATGTCTAATAATATAAGCTTCCTCTAATGAAATTGATAGTGCAATTCAAATTGACTTGGATATATATAGATATATTCAATGTAGGCGTATTTCTTGCGTACCATACCGGCAATATGTGGTTTTGAGATATCATATTTTGGGGGCGGAATGATTCTTGTACAGGATATCATTGCTTGTATAGGAATAGTTTCTCTAATTGGCCCAATAATATTAAAAAATGAAAGTGTGGGTAATAAGGTTTAACAACGGACCAATTGCCAACAGCACTAGTGGACTGGCCACCCACTAGAGCCGTTAGCTCAATCAAAACACTCCCGCATTGCATTAGCGGGGTTGTTGTGGTGGGGCTAGGAGCCTAGGGTTCGAGTCCCAGGCATCCTAGCTTTTTAGCTTTTTAAGCTTTTTTGAGGTCACATGACCTCCGTCCCACTTATTCTGGCCAATCAGAGCCTTTAGATTCCGGGAATCATTCTTTTACAAAGAATGATTATTTTCAAAAGAATGATAATCTCGTAAAATATCATATTTCTCATTCTAACCTTTGTTATGGCTAATATGATAATTTACACAAGGAATCATTCCTGAAACCCATATAATGCCAGTACGGTATTTTTGGTAGGATGGCGGATGAGTGCATCTTCTCCAACTGGTACTTGCATCAAGTACCTAGATACATGTATGTATATAGGGCTGATAAGTGGGTTGTCTGTGGCTGCTCCAAGCCGCAACTTACCGTTTAGGTACAAGGTCTAGGAGAATCGTGCATGAGCCACCAGTTGCACAAGGCTGCAGCACTCTTTATCTTCTTATCCGGAATCAAATGCCAGTCAACTTCAGCCTGGCAACATCAACTATCGCATAGCTATCAAATCTCGCGATGCGTATATACAAATTAACATGCAAAAGTCTGAAGCCGGTTTGAGAATATAGTAAAAGAAAATACCCAAGCCGAACTAGTTTCTTTACTACCGGCGAGCCAAGCACATAAACATGCTATTCTATTTGTAACATTTCTACGAGACTGCAACTAAAGGAGGCTCCACGAAAACGACCTTAACATATCCGCGCCAATACGCGTGCCCTGAGGTTTCCATCGACAACTACATCGAGTCTCATACGATATTCTCTCACCATAAGAAAGCCTCTAATGATTTAACTCTGCACGCTCACCTTCATATCGTATTTGCCTAAAACCCAGCAAAGATGAAGTTCTTCATCGACGACCTTCCGGTTCTCTTTCCGTATCCACGGATATATCCGGAGCAATATGCATATATGTGTGATCTGAAGAAGACTCTCGATGCAGGCGGGCACTGCGTTTTGGAGATGCCTTCGGGGACCGGAAAAACTGTCTCACTACTATCATTAATCGTCGCATATCAACAACATTATCCCGAACACCGGAAGCTTATCTATTGTTCTCGTACCATGTCAGAAATCGAAAAGGCCTTGGCGGAACTCAAGGCCTTGATGAAATTCAGGGCTGATGAACTCGGCCACGTAGAAGATTTTCGCGGCCTAGGCCTAACAAGCCGTAAGAATCTCTGTCTCCATCCTTCGGTCAAGAGAGAAAAGAGCGGCGCCATCGTGGATGCTAGGTGTCGTAGCTTGACTGCCGGCTTCGTCAGAGAAAAGAAGGGAAAAGGCGAGAGCGTTGAGACATGCGTGTACCATGACAATCTGGACCTCCTAGAACCCCATAACCTTGTACCCAACGGTGTTTGGACCCTTGATGGCCTACTGAGATATGGCGAGCAGCACAAGCAGTGCCCCTATTTCACATCAAGGCGGATGGTAAGTTCTTCCAAGTTCATCTACCCGGGTTCTACATTGCTAGAGGCACAGAGCTTACCTTTTCCGTGTTATAGATGCAATATTGTAACGTTATAATCTACTCGTATCACTACCTGCTGGACCCCAAGATAGCAGAACGTGTATCTAAAGAGCTCTCGAAGGACTGCATTGTCGTTTTCGACGAGGCCCACAACATAGACAACGTCTGTATCGAGTCTCTAAGCACAGATATCACAGAAGATTCCCTACGAAAGGCCACCAGGGGTGCTCAAAACCTGGAACGTAAGATCTCGGAGATGAAGGAGACAGATCGAGAACAGTTGGAAAACGAGTACCAGAAGCTAGTGGAGGGTCTTCGAGATGCCGATGAGGCTCGGCAGGAGGATACTTTTATGGCCAACCCCGTTCTCCCCGATGACTTGTTGAAGGAGGCGGTTCCTGGAAATATCCGGAGAGCTGAGCATTTTACTGCTTTCCTGAAACGATTTATCGAATATCTCAAGACACGTATGAAGGTCCGACAGGTCATCTCGGAAACACCACCATCATTCCTGGCACATCTAAAGGAGCACACATTTATCGAAAAGAAGCCGCTACGTTTCTGTGCCGAAAGACTAACCTCCCTTGTGAGGACGCTCGAGCTAACCAGTATCGAAGACTATCAACCGCTACAAGAAGTAGCCACATTCGCGACTCTTGTCGCCACATACGAGAAGGGATTCTTGCTCATTCTTGAACCTTTCGAATCAGATACTGCCGAAGTACCAAACCCAGTTCTACATTTCACGTGCTTAGATGCGGCAATCGCTATCAAGCCCGTGTTCGACAGGTTCAGCTCCGTCATTATCACTTCTGGTACTATCTCGCCCTTGGAGATGTACCCGAAGATGTTAGGGTTTTCTACGGTCGTCCAAGAGTCATACACGATGACCCTAGCGAGACGATCTTTCTTACCAATGATCGTCACCCGAGGGAGCGATCAAGCAACTATCTCCACCAGTTTCGCAGTCAGGAATGAGCCTAGTGTGGTCCGCAATTACGGTAACCTCTTGACCGAATTCGCAAGAATTACTCCAGACGGTATGGTCGTATTCTTCCCATCATATTTGTACATGGAATCTATTATTAGCATGTGGCAGGGGATGGGCATATTAGACGAGGTCTGGAAGTACAAGCTCATCTTGGTCGAAACGCCGGATGCCCAAGAAACTTCGCTTGCACTTGAGACATACCGTATGGCCTGCTGCAATGGCAGAGGTGCTGTCCTCCTATGTGTGGCTCGTGGAAAGGTCTCGGAAGGTATCGATTTCGACCATCAGTATGGTCGAACTGTGTTGTGCATCGGCGTCCCGTTCCAATACACGGAATCACGTATCCTCAAAGCTAGATTACAGTTCCTTCGAGAAACCTACCGTATCCGAGAAAACGACTTCTTATCTTTCGACGCCATGCGACACGCCGCACAATGCCTCGGTCGTGTGCTCCGAGGCAAAGACGACTACGGAATCATGGTACTAGCCGACCGCCGGTTCCAAAAGAAGAGACACCAACTCCCTAAATGGATCAACCAGGCCATGCAAGAAGTCGACGGGAATCTGAGTACAGATATGGCAGTCATCACGGCGAAGCGCTTCTTGCGAGACATGGCGCGACCCTTTAAAGCTAAGGACCAAGAAGGGATCAGCGTGTGGAGTCTCGAGGATCTGAAAGAGCACCAGAAGAAGGTCGACGAGGAAAGGATTAAGGAGTTGCAAGATGACAACGCGGCTATCGAGGCTATGCATAGGGCCCAGGCTTTGCTGGCTATGCGGAGCTACAATGATGACTTCGATATGGACGACGACGATCTCGATGAGGGCATGATGGAGCTTGACGCCGCGTGAGCGTGAGTGTGCGGATAAGAGGTAGTCACCAGCTCGATATTCTGTATAACAATCACATCACATTAGAGCTTGGGGGTTCTCAGGCGTTGAAAACAAGCAACTAGCACCGCAAGGTTAGATAGGCATCTAATATAAATTGACCGCGGCTTAATATCAAGTCAACATCATACTCGCAATTATTAGTCTTCTTAATATTCGCGATGTTTTATTACACAATCTCCCAGCCTAAACCATGTGATTAATTTAACTATTATGTAGTAGATAGCTCTGACTTAGTGGGTAGACTTGGCGAGATTCCAAAAGTTCTCCATCTTGGACTTGGATAACACCTCCCTCGCCTCGCTGTCCGTCTCGCAGACCTTGGAACCCCATTTCCTAAACGCGCGGGACTTTACTTCTCCCTCGAAGATCAGCTTGCACTGGTTCTCGGCTAGATCCTTTAAATCGCCCTCTTCGTTCTCGGCCTTGAGCCATTCCTTCAAAGCCTCGTTCTGTGCGTCCTTCTCGCGAGATGGCAGGTTCTCGGTCCAGTTGATGCGGTTCAGGAGTAGTTTCTTGTAGTGCTTGATGGACCACTCGCCGCCCTCGGCAATGACCAGGTTCTGCTTCGGGTGCATGATGACCAACCCCGTGAGAGCAAGCTGGTCGGCGTTGACGCTAATCTTGTACCGGTGCTGACCGTTCGCCAAGCTATTGATCTTGAACACCAGCATATGCAAGCCCTTGGCCGCGTCCTTCTCCTGGTTCGTAGCCAGCTTCTCGTGCTTCTGCTCCTTGGTCAATCTCCGCTCCTCGTTCGTCTGCACGTGCTTGTTGTGCCGATCCGCAATCTCGCGATTCACGCGGGCTTCGACGGCCGTGGGATCTTTGACGGCTTCCTCGCCTAGGACACGCATTAGATTGCCCTTCTTGACCTTTGGCGGCGGCGCAGGGACTAGGCCGAGTCTAATCTTGGCTTGTTCCTCCTTCAGGTCGGCCATTCGGCGCTGTCGGCGCAGCTTGGCTTGTTCCGTGGAGGTGAGGTACATGGGTTTCGGAGCGGGGACGTTCTTGTCCTGGGGAGGTTCGATGGGGACGGGGTGTTGGATATATCTAGTAATTATCGTGTCTTCGGTGTCGATCTTGAGCACCTTGGGGTTTTCTATGTCGTCGTAGTTCTTGCCGTCTATTAATCCTTCGTCCCACCACTCGACATCTGGGGGAGCTTCAACCACGAAGTTCTTCTCGACGTCTTTGTCCTCGTCTATTCCGACCTTACGCGTGCCCGCCGCAATCTTCTTCTTCAGAGCTTCGAGCGCTGCTTGCCTTCGTAGCGCATTCGCTTGCTGGATGTATTTGCCTTTCTGGTTGAATATGAGTTGACGCGACTGTCTCGGTTTTGCGCCGGGAGCGCTTAGACTCGCGTCAAAATAGGGATTGTTCTTGATTTCCTCTTGCGATGGGCCGGATAGATCGAGGGGTTTGTGTTTCGGTTGTGCCTTGTTGCCATCATTCCGTGATCGCGAGCCTAATCCGGATTTCGAGTCGTTGGTCTTACCACCACCAGGCTTCCATTGTCCGATATCTTCCAACGCTGGATGAAGACCAACATTCAGACCACCCTTTGCCTTAGTAGATCCTATAGCTGCTGATACGCGTGCCTTCAATGCTGCTAGCTTAGCGGCTTTGTCCGTAGCAGACTCCGGTTTCTGTACTCGAGACCCAGCATCATTACGCGGGCCAAGGCCTGGCGAGCCGTGTCGCTCCATGAGATAGGATTATAATATTGGCCCTATGAGATGAACAAATGAGGTTGAAATCAGCAGACAAGTATATATTGACCCGGGAAGTGTCTGAATAGGATTTGAGTAATGATCTCGATGTCGGACAAAGAAAGGCTACCTCAGCCAAGGTAACGGTAGGCGAAACGAATTAAGACCACATACGGAGCGACACGCAATACATTTGGTAGTTCCCCAGAACAGGAGAAAGAAGAAGTATTACTATCCAGCTTGCACTTGTCTCAAAGGTCAAGTTAGGAGGTACTTTGGTCCTTAGCTGCTTTGATAGTTGCACACTCGCTAAGTCTAAGTCGCACTAGTGATTGATTGATGATAATGATAAGTTAGTTAGATAAGATGTGTCACATGATCTTTTACTTCTGCCGTCTATCACCGCTAAAAAGTTCAAGCTCCAAATTTTTGGTTGATCGTGAACCCCACTAAAAAAACAGTATCCTCGACTTACAACCAGCCCTCCAATATAATACAAGAAAACCGCAATGCCATGAGTTGATAGAGTTTTACTGAGATCGCTTCAACCCTCTATAAACTCTAACAGCTCTAGCGGCTCCAATTCAAAGTTCGAAACGCGCTGAGAAGGTTGCGCTGGGCTATGAGGTTATAAAAACCGTTAGCCATGAATATCTCACAGCCAATCCCGTCGGCTATCGACAGCGTCGACTTCGACTTCCTCACTCCTACCGAGATCAAAGCTATTTCTGTCAAGAGGATTGAAAACCCTACCACATTTGATAGTCTTCTAAATCCGATACCTGGTGGACTTTACGATCCAGCTCTTGGAGCTTGGGGAGATTCGGTGTAAGTAGAATCTAGAGATGGTGACATGTGTCGCATATGAAGTTAACGCTGGTAGATGCACAACATGTAATCTCACGCAGCCAAATTGTCCGGGCCATGTCGGCCATATCGACCTTCCAGTTCCTGTATATCATCCTGTTTTTATGGACCAGATTTTAAGATTACTTCGCGCGCAATGTCAATACTGCTTTCGCTTTCGAATGCGACGGGCCGACTTAAGCCTGGTCGCCTGCAAGCTACGTCTTCTCCAATTCGGCCTTATAGATGCGGCAAATCATCTCGACGATATTACAGCCGAGACCACCGATATCCAAGTCGATGATGAAGATGAAAATCTTTCCGACGGAGAAGAAAGCTCGGCGCTTGACAAAATAACTCGCATGAGAGAGGTTTATACCCAGACAACGTTGAAGAATCATAGGGTTGGGACCGCCGATATCAGGAAGGGTAAACACGAGGGTGCATCCGAGGCAAGGAGAGAAGTGCTTAAGGACTTTTTCAGGGAGATAACCAAGGGCAGAGCGTGCGCTACATGCCAGGCGATATCTCCAAACTTCCGAAAGGACCGGTTTGTCAAAATCTTCGAGAAGCCACTCAGCGCCAAGGACCAAGCCAAAATGGCGCAACGAAATTTCGAGCATAGAGATGCCTTGGCTATCAAAAGGAAATCCAAGGCAGACGTAACCAAGAAGCGTGGCTACGAGACAGACGAAGGTATCGCTGATATTGATCTACCATCGAGTGAGGGAGAGCCCGACCAGGATAATGACGAAGAGGAAGAAGAAGGAGAGGGCGAAGAGCTTGACGAGAATGGCGATGTGATCATGTCAGAAGGCGGCGATGCTGCTATCAAGGCCCCCAAGGCGAAGAAGGACGCATCGGCCAAACCTCAGCAGCGTTATGTCAACTCGATGGAAGTACAGGCCCGGCTTCAACTATTGTTTGAAAAAGAGCAAGAAATAATGGGCCTTGTTTACAACTCGAGACCTCTGGGGAAGAAACTCCCTGCCGACAACTTCTTCATCCAAACCGTCCTTGTTCCGCCTAACAAATACCGCCCCGAGGCGCGACAAGGCGACGGAGGAATTGCAGAAGCCCAACAAAACTCCCTTTACAAGCAAATTCTTGCATCTTGCGCGCGCATTGCTCAGATACATAAGGAAATCACGCAACACGGAAACGATCCTAATTCGACGGCCCGGCGGCGAGACATGTCCGAAATGCACGAAGCCTGTGTTCAATTGCAAGATAGTGTAAATTCTTTAATTGATCGTGATAGAAATCCTATCCGCGGAGCCGCTGGAAAGAGGAATGAAGACGGTATCAAACAAAAACTCGAAAAGAAAGAAGGACTTTTCAGAAAAAACATGATGGGCAAACGTGTTAACTACGCCGCACGAAGTGTCATTTCTCCGGATCCCAACATTGAGACCAGCGAAATAGGTGTTCCTCCCGTCTTTGCCAAAAAGTTAACATATCCGGAACCGGTAACCAGCCATAATTTTAGAGAAATGCAACAGGCAGTTATCAATGGTGTCGACAAATGGCCCGGTGCCGCCGCGATTGAGAACGAGAACGGACAAATTATTAACCTGAAGAACAAATCTGCGGAAGACCGTGTTGCCTTAGCCAACCAACTTCTCGCGCCGACAAGCCAAGAGTATGCCGGGATAAAAGGCAAAAAAGTCCATCGACATCTTGGAAACGGCGATGTGGTGTTGATGAATCGTCAGCCCACGCTTCACAAGCCCTCCATCATGGGTCATCGAGCCAGAGTCCTGCCTGGGGAAAAGACTATTCGTATGCACTACGCGAACTGTAACACGTACAACGCAGATTTCGATGGTGACGAGATGAATATGCACTTCCCCCAAAACGAACTTGCTCGAGCAGAAGCTTTACAGATTGCCGATACCGACCATCAGTACCTATCAGCTACTGCTGGGAAGCCCTTGCGAGGTCTGATTCAGGACCATCTGTCTGTGTCCGTTGCGCTCTGCAATAAAGATACCTTTTTCGATAAAGGCGCATATCAGCAGCTTGTATATGGCGCGTTAAGACCTGAGAGTGGCCATATCACATCTGAGAGGCTTGAGCTTGTCCCGCCGGCTATCTTCAAACCTGCTAGGCGCTGGACCGGAAAGCAGGTTATTACAACCATATTGAAGAACATGAAGCCGGCTGGTTGCGGTGACCTCTGGCTCACCGGAAAATCCCAGTTAAAACCGCCTTCTTGGGGCAACTTTCTCGAAGAGAGTAACGTCTTATTTAGCGACGGCGAATTCATTACCGGTATCCTTGATAAGTCACAGCTAGGTCCTAGTGCTGGTGGATTTATCCACTCTATCCATGAGATCTGGGGTCCTGAACTTGCCGCCAAGCTTCTCAGCTGCCTTGGTCGCCTTCTTACCCGGTACCTCAATATGCGCGCTTTCACTTGCGGTATGGACGATTTGCGACTCACGCCGGAGGGTGAGAAGAGTCGCAAGGAGAAGCTTAAGAGCGCCAGCCACATCGGTCTTGAAGTTGCTGCGCAATTTGTGAGTCTAGGTGACCGTCCTAATATCACCGGCACGGATGAGCTGCTACTGGAACGGTTAGAGGAGGTTATGCGTGACGATACGAAGCAAGAAGGCCTGGATCGCATGATGAATTCTCGATCGCGCGAACTGTCTAGCGAAGTCAATAAGACTCTTCCCGCAGGTCTTGTAAAACAATTCCCTAAGAATCAAATGCAGTCTATGACAACATCCGGTGCAAAGGGAAGTACTGTCAATGCAAACTTGATTTCTTGTAACCTTGGTCAACAGGTTCTTGAAGGTCGAAGAGTTCCTCTAATGGTTAGCGGCAAGTCATTACCATGCTTCCGCCCGTTCGAAACAAGCGTGCGAGCAGGTGGTTATATTGTGAACCGTTTCTTGACTGGAATTCGACCTCAGGAATACTATTTCCATCACATGGCTGGACGAGAAGGTTTAATTGATACCGCTGTGAAGACGTCACGATCCGGTTATCTACAAAGATGTCTAATCAAGGGAATGGAAGGCCTGAAAGTTGCTTACGATTCATCTGTACGAGATGCCGACGGATCGATGGTTCAGTTCTTATACGGAGAAGATGGCTTGGATATCACCAAGCAAAAATACTTGACTGATTTCGGCTTTGTGCTTCGCAACCAGACATCTCAGGTCAATTTACTTGGTATTGGGGAGAGAGGATGGGATCAAGAAATCTACGAATCCAAGGACTACGCTCAAAAGTACCAAAAGAAAGCCATCAAGCAGGCCAAGGCGAATGATCCAAAGGCCCTCGATCCCATTCACACTGAGCTTAATCCCAACCGCCATGCGTTCTCCACATCGGAAAAGTTCTACGAGAAGGTGTCCGAGTACATCAAGAAAAACCAGGACGGCTTGATCAAGGATAAGGGCGAGAAGAAATCAGGTGCTATGCTCATTCCTCGTAAATACGCCGAGAAGATATTCCATGCCAAATATCTCCACTCCCTGGTGGAACCAGGTGAGGCTGTAGGTATCGTTGCTGGTCAATCCGTCGGTGAGCCTTCGACTCAAATGACGTTGAACACGTTCCATTTGGCTGGTCACTCTGCAAAGAACGTCACTCTTGGTATCCCCCGTCTGCGAGAAATTCTCATGACAGCTAGCGACCACATTTCCACGCCGTCCATGACGCTGGTACTGAACGAAGAACTATCGGAGGCGGATGGAGAGACCTTTGCAAAAGCCATCAGTATCCTTCCCCTCTCGCACGTCGTCGACAAAGCTACGGTAAAGGAGCGTGTCGGCAAAGGCATTGGCTACCGCTTAGCAAAGATGTTCGATATTCACCTCCAGTTTTTCCCGTCTACCGAATACACAAAAACATATGCGATCAGCATTTCTGACGTCCTGAAGACCCTCGAGATTAAATTTTTGCCCATGCTGGAGAAATTAATCAAGAAGGAAATTAAGGCAAAGGTTGATCGAGAGGGCGACGCGGTACCTGAGGTTGGTGTCAAATCTGGCGTAGTCGAAGTAGCATCGGGCAACCCCGATGCCGTAGCTCGCGATGAGGATGATGATGACGACGATGACGATGAGGATGACGCAACAAATGCCAAGCAACGCGCGAACCGAGCACAGGCAGTTTCGTATGGTGCGAATGATGAAGAAGATGACGAGATCCAGCAGCGAATGGAGAGAGAGGCGTCAGCGGAAGATGAAGAGGAGCCTGAGGACGAAGGATTCGGCGGTAGTCCGCCCCCACCAAGCGACGACGAAGATGAAGACAGCAGTACTAGCAAACGAGCCGGTGCCCGCGAAAGTCGTATCAAGGACAGGATCCCAGTCGTATCTCGTTTCACATGCGACGAGAAGAAAGGCGAATGGTGTGACTTCACACTCGAATACGATTCCAACATACCTAAGATCCTCATGTTGAGCGTTCTCCAGGACGCAGTCCGGAAGACACTCATACAGCAAATCGATGGTATCAAGTCCTGCACATTCGTAGCCGACGAGAAGATAGTCGACCCGCGAACTGGGGAGGAAGAAAAGAAGGCGGTTATCCACACATCTGGTGTCAATCTCCGAGCCATGCAGAAATATGGTGACTTCATCAACCCCAACAAAATCCAGACGAACGATATTGCATCAGTGCTCCAGGTGTATGGCGTCGAGGCAGCACGCAACAGTATCATTCGGGAACTTGGCGGCGTTTTCGAAGGTCACGGTATCGGTGTCGACAAACGACATCTCAACCTCATCGGAGACTACATGACGAGGAACGGAGGGTTCACCCCGTTCAACCGCAACGGCTTGAAGGGCAACGTCAGTCCGTTCACCAAGATGAGTTTCGAAACCACATTGTCATTCTTGAAGGACGCCGTTCTCGACGGAGATTGGGATGATCTTACCACACCTAGTAGCCGAATCGTCATGGGAAGGCTGGGCATGATCGGCACGGGCGCCTTCGATGTTCTTCTCGAGGCACATCCGAAGAACGGGAAGAACCACCTGGGCTGAGAGGCCGTAGTTAATAAGGAATCAAAATAGGCGCAATGGAATCTTTGAAATCTTGGTTAGGAGTACAGTTGTATTCTTAGTGTTAGATATGGGAAAATACCAGCTATTTCACAATCATGTCTCGTGACTTGAGTGAGATGAGAAACCTTCATATGATGAGACCCGCGTGGCAACTTCAAAAAGAAGCCACCCCTATTTAGCGATGCACATGGCGGTGGGATCCCGGCTTAAGAGACGTAGAGGTCTTAGTATTGTGTAGATATAACAAGTCAAATCAGCGTAATATCCCGCTACATCCTCCTCTGTTACGTATTACGATTCTTAACGAGTTTCACTAAAGAATAATAAACTCTAGTAAACACCTTTACACTGTAACTTAGACGCGTACACAAATATCATACAGGGAAAGAAGACGGGATAAATTAGTTAGAGCGGACGAAATTCACTATGCCAACATAGAATAAGCCGACCGCCGGGTAAAGGGAATGTTGGTACAAATCTCACATAGTCAGTCACCCGACATCTCGGGGTTGCTGCCGACCTAGTTGGTACAATAAGATTGGTTCGGAGACTTGAGAAAATAAAGACATCACAACAAACCTTGTTCTAGATATAAGCGGGAGTAAATATTAAGCATTCATCAATCAGATTCATCTACATGTAATATACATTAGGTATCTTATAAGAGAACATTCAACAGCGCACGAGACATAGCTAGGAGTGCGGTAATCAACATCAAGATTATTATATGATAGAGGGGGAGTAAGCACATTTCAGCAGCACACGTTCACTTTCTCGGTAGAAACTTTAGGTTGTCACATTTGGGGAGGTACCTTGTTAGGTAAAAGCATACCTCACTAAGAGCGACTTGATTGTCATAACAGGTACTTAGGGTAGCCTAATTCGAATATCATACTACAGTGAATAGCTGTATCTCATAAGCAAATCCCTTACGTTGGTATTCAAGTCAGTGACTACAAGTGGCAATGTCTAGAGACGAAGGATTAGATAGAAGGCAATGATCGTATGATAATGAAGTCATTAAATATCCCGTGGCATAAGACAAGCGGTATGATTCATAGACTAGTAGCGATAGTTACATTAAGTCACTCGGGCAATGGAAAGACTAGTGAGTTTGTTTGTTCATGTTTCTGATATCTCAGTTCAGTATCGCAGCGCAGAAAGCCAACTGCCTATCACTGATGGTACAATCCATATCTGTAAAAAGCAACGTAATCGCAAACGCCGTAATGATTACCATTCCCTGTAAACCGAATTCATCATGCCATCCCTGTGGGAATCATAAAGTGCAGCATCCGACCAAAACCCCTGCAAATCACCAAGACCGTAAGCGGACAACTGTTTAGTTGCGCTCACCACGGAGGCGACGGGCGAGCTGGATGTCCTTCTGTAATGGCTGTTAGAATGTGTAAAGTAGTAAATATGCGAGTGAAAGGTACTAACCGATTGGATGGTGACACGCTTGGCGTGGATGGCGCACAGGTTGGTGTCCTCAAAGAGGGAGACGAGGTAAGACTCGACGGACTCCTGAAGAGCACCGATGGCGGAAGACTGGAAGCGCAGGTCGGACTTGAAATCCTGAGCGATTTCACGAACCTATTAAAGACGCGTTAGTTTGATGTTGGTTGTCGCGATGCGGGGAAGTCGCGTTAAGTAGAAAAGACACGATCGCGATATCCACTTGTCAAGTGACGCGTGGATGAAGCGATAGTGAGATGGCAGAATAGATCATAACTTACCAGACGCTGGAAGGGGAGCTTGCGGATGAGAAGCTCAGTCGACTTCTGGTAGCGACGAATCTCACGAAGAGCGACGGTACCAGGCTTGTAGCGGTGAGGCTTCTTGACACCACCGGTTGACGGGGCGGACTTGCGGGCAGCCTTGGAGGCAAGCTGCTTACGGGGAGCCTTGCCACCGGTGGACTTACGGGCGGTCTGCTTAGTGCGGGCCATTGTAGATGATGTTGTTGAGTAGTTTGGTGATGAAAAAGTTGATGGAAGTGCTGATATTGATGGTTTGAGAAGATGAGGCGGATGCGGATTGTTGTGGATTGTTGTAGATGTGGAAAAGAGAAAACGGATTGGAGGGGTGGGGGAACTTGGTTAAATATGTGAGAGAGTGGGTTCTTCCTTTGGCTGATTGTGTGCAAGGCAGGTACTCTGGGGGGGCAACTAATCAGATGGTCAATGCGCAGCGTTGCAGGATCAGAAGGAAAAAAAAATTCGAAAGCGCGGTTACTTTGGGGGTGCGTTGTTGATTATTTTTGGGGGGGAGACAGGGATGCGTTTTGCTGTTCAAAAGTGCTTGGATTTTAGGTGGGAATTTTGAGACTTGGTTGCCATTCGGGACCCGTCTAATTGTTGATTGGGTGCAGCGTAGCGCGCTCTCCACAATTTTAGTGACTATACTACTTTTGTAGCATTTAATCCTTTAGATCAAGAAAAAGGCAATTCCCATTCGATATGTACCTACATATGGCAATATACTAAAACTGATAAGGCATTTGATAAGGCTACAACTTGATTTTGGACTAATGAAAGTGCAGCACGGAAACGTGCTTGCATGTTACTCGATTTGTTGTATATCATGTTTCCATGTATTTATGTATTAGGATCTTATATCCAAGTACCTATTTCATTATTCTATCTGCAACTAGAAGCATTTACCACTCATCTTTTAAGTGGCAAACTACCTAGGTGTGCTCTAATAACTGGTCATATGGCAATGTACTAAGGTATGCGTGAAGGAGGGTAGCTACGTAGGCATATGCCTGGGGCATCATTCTAGACATAACAAATTTAGGTTAAAGGTTTCTTTATGGAATGCAATACTAGATTTCTCATGCATGAAACAAGTCAGACTAAGGTTAATAAATGATTTCCAACTATTCCTAGCCTGGTAATTTTAATAAGTGCACAAGGTTTAATTATTACCATTAAGTTACGTTTGTGGCACTTCTAGTTCCTGGATTTGCAGGTTAACTGTTAAGAGCATGTCAAAAGTCCGAAAAGCGATAAGAGAATGCGAATTAATGATTGGCTCAAGTTGATTTAAACTTCTTGCATATCAAATCTGACCCGAATGGGAGTAGTAGGGTCCGTGTAAATCAAGCGCAAGCTGCCCTGCGGAGCGCGTTGGAACTTAGTTCTCTTTTTTTCTATTGGTCAGAATCCGCTATTTTATTTTGCGACCGGTGGGGCTGATCAGGCACGAGTTCGCGTCAATCCCGGGCTGATCTGATTCCCAGTTACCGGACCCGCCCCGTTGATATTTAAAACTGTCGCTTTTCCCCACGTCTCAATCTTTCCATCTTCCAAACATACCGCTTGCATATCAGCCTCATCTGTACCACTTGCACCAGCACCAGCACCAGCACCAGCACCCCAATACCAAAACACTTAACAACTACATACTCTTCTAACCTCATTCAATATGACTGGACGTAAGTATTCCATTCTGCTTCGGCTGCATCCTTCGGCATCTAGCCCTTTCAGCTTCAGCCTTATTGGATCACGTCGCTAACATACCTCGAATAGGCGGCAAAGGTGGCAAGGGCCTCGGCAAGGGTGGCGCCAAGCGTCATCGCAAGATTCTTCGTGACAACATCCAGGGTATTACCAAGCCCGCTATCCGACGTCTCGCTCGTCGTGGTGGTGTCAAGCGTATCTCAGCCAGTAAGTTACATCTACTCAGTCACGTCTACGACGCGTCAGTTGACTAACGCGTTTGCCCCGCAGTGATCTACGAGGAGACCCGAGGTGTTCTAAAGTCCTTCCTTGAGGGTGTCATCCGTGACGCCGTCACCTACACTGAGCACGCCAAGCGCAAGACTGTCACATCTCTAGACGTTGTCTACGCTCTAAAGCGACAAGGCCGCACCCTGTACGGTTTCGGTGGTTAAACTTTCAATCTTGGGTTTTGGAAGGGGTTTGGTCACGTTTATTATGAAGTCTTTTCTCGCGGTTGCCACATACTGTTTGCATTGTGGTTGGTCATGATGATCATGGGATTCGGTTCTGCGTTTAGGGTGTTCACTGTATCATAAGGGATTTGGGGGTCCACTACATGGATTTGTCCATCGAGACATAATCAATTGACGAACACATAAGAACATTCATCCATCTTCATTTTCTGTGATTACATTGTAGTATCTGGTTCGTAGTGTGGTGTGTGCTTCCATGGTTTCGACGCGATCGTATCAAATAGCATGCTATATCTCGTAGCCTACCCAATCCACGTGTTTTCTAGATGAGTCAGTTCGAAGCCGATTTTTCTTAATCTGACTCACTAACCTGCTAGGAAACCTAGCCCAACACGTAGCAAGTGAATGATCACATGTATATCCGTGATCACAGGCAATTATATTGTAGTCTGCGCAATGATAGTTACTTTCACACTACCAAGATCGTATCTTGATAACAAGGTTGCCAACAATGTCGATGCCATTTCAGAATCCCTAAATCTACATGTATCCGTGACTTTGTTCATGACATAAATAAATTTCATATATTCTTCACCTCGTGTAAAATAAAGTAAAATAAACCACCTACGCTCGACTTATATTCGGCGCACTCAATATTCAGATTGCTAGTAAATCCAACCAGAAGAATATACTTAGATTCAGGGTTAAGCCTCGATATGTAGAGAAATTGCTTCACTGTTTGATCATAAGAGGTTATTCCTAGTTGGTCCAGCTTAGCTGGTAACGAGTGGAAATAGCCCTGTACTTGCCAGACATTCTACAATGTATGGATTCTTCATTGCGGTGTGGCAGGTTTTCTATTTAGATATGTTTATTAATTCATAACTAACTTGTATTTTGACCAAGAGCATGTAAGTTCATAGAATATGAGTATGTGTCACTTTCGAGAACTTCTTGAGTTTGTCCTACAATAACAATGTAATAATTTCAAGAATGTCCATTAATTACAATATATTTAATTTCGTGTTGAATTACACCATACATCATTCTAATTTGCCCTTATACGTAATCACACTAAAACGTGTCAATGACATGATGAATGGTAAAGCACCTTGAGACTCGAACAATTATGTATGGTTGATTAGGAAGTTTAATATCTACATGGGAAAATATATGGACAAATATATGGACTCAAAACCATCGCCTATAATACCTACCTACATGTAGTTTGAATAAACAGAACACTTAACTTCTCACAATTGACGAGCATTTGATATTAAATTCCAAAGATAGATAATGTTTATTACTCCTTTTTTCAAGCAGTTATTGAATTACATGTTTATGTTTTTATGATTAATATGTGTAGTTGAGGGCTACATGTCACAACAACTCTCACCATAAGAATTAACAAATCTCATCTTAAGCATAGTGATAAAGGTGTTGGTATTGATCCATAAGTTAACTGGGCGGTGACATTGAACTTCTTGTTTGTATTTTCTCCCATATATGGAAGTAACTGAAGCCTTGACGAAAGTATTAAATTTGGCCGTATTAGTATTTATTCATCCCTTGAAATTTTTATCCATAATGTAATATCCTCTCGTGTGTTATTATGTTATTATCTTACTTTGATTAGTTTTAGTCATTGTGTTCCATGTATATATTTCTTTAACTAGTGAGCTATCCCCGTATGACCTTAAATATTGAATGTTAACCATGTTTTATCTAACCCTCTCATCCTTATGCATATCGGGAGGCACATATCTGAATGAATGATTTCCGACTTGTAACTTGTTGCTAGTATATCCCTAAGGCTTGGAATGTAAACAGTATGAGACAACGACCCAGATAACTACCCACGTTAATGCCACCAGATAGTACACCCTTTACTACTTATCAAATATATCGAACTATTTCATCTGATACGGAATAGCATACACATGAGATAGACAAATTATCTTTCAACTTACCTACTTTATGAGCAATACCAAAGTTAAACATGTACTCCCTGCTTCGATCTGGGGTTATCTGACTACACTATTGGCTGAGTAGATCCCGTTACGTGGCGCTTGTGTGCGTACATAATCTTAGTTCGTCTGTGCCTGGGGTAAGCCCATGACATAAGATCATACATGAACCTTGAGGCTTTTGACATATTTATCATATTATTTATTACAATCTAAGCTTTCCCACATTGGGTTGGACTCATCCCTGTGAGTCAATATGTCTATTTTAGTTTACTACGCCCATACCTGGGTATTATGCGAGATAGTCAGATATCAATGATGGCCGTCTCGACTTGCCACGAGCCTAAAGTTATCATCTCACTATTGGAGGGGGAAAAGACAATAATAATAAATGTTATATTCCAGGATATCGCGTGGAGCAAGTAGATCACACGCGTCTACATGCAACTGTAATGTAAGCATTTGAATAGCTATTCTCATCTTAGACCTATGATGGTCACGTAGATAGGTCACATAGTCATCAAGGCACCAACGCCTAACGGAGGTTACTAATATTGTTCTTGTTCTCAGTAGGTAGGCACATGCTGCGAGGGGCTGCCTGGAACTAGATTAAGACAGTTCATGGGTGTGCAGCTCGGCTAATATGGCAAACACTCCTTTCGTGCCACACCTACCTTTCGGAGGTTAGAATATTCATACATACGATCAACATTCCACGATTAACTATTTCGCTGAAATACTCGATTGAAACAACCGATGCTAGGGTATTAGCTAGGGACCGACTCTTGTGATGTGATCCGTTGAACTGATCGGAGCATATACAGGACACCGACCGACTCCGGACCCGGTCCGAGGCATCATCCAAAACCTAAAATTTTATTTTAAATGGTTTTTTTTTTAGTATGGAACAGTCAGATCATCATCTTTTAGTCAGAGCCAACATAATCGTGAGTTTCAATTGGTAAGACGGAGAATTGAAATATTGAATTAAACATGATACTGGTCATGTCGGCCTTAGCACTAGCCACACAGTGCAAGACTTCTTGCTTTATAAAAGAAAGAAAGAAAGAGAAAGAGAAAATAAAAATGTGAAAGAAAGGGGAAAAGAAAGATCAAAACAAAAGAGAAAGAGAAAGAAAGAAATGCGCCGTACTGTAGTTGAATTAATATGTACAGCAGCACGTGGGAATGTCGAGGGGCTGATTAGAAGTTGGCGGGGATTTTGCACTATTCATGACGCGAAAATACGCGTCTAACACTCACTTATAGAGATAAGGCGCGTTTTATATCAATCAAGTATCATCCCATTTTAGACTAGCATGGACTTAATCACCAAAGCTCGCCCTGCATGTTACTACTGGATATAAATATTTCCCATGCTTTATTTTATTTCCTCGTATTCTCCTCAATATTCAGAGCTGACAATCAGCTGAATATAATCATTTCAGCTGCTTGATCAGCACGTCTAATCTCTCCTAGGATATGTGCAATCCAACTTCTAAGGTGTACATATGTGAATCATGATGGGCTTACCATAGGTTAGAAAAACCTGTTTACTCGATACGGGGAAGCCGTTGCTATATCTGGACTTGGCCCCCTAATGCAAGATCTCCCAACATGAGATCGCTGACACGATGCATTGCAGACAGCGCTCGGTGAAACCAAAATCGCATCCGGGGGCGCATGTAGCCGCTGGCGTATGCTACGACATGATATCTAGAGGTAGTATAACCTGGCTGGTATCCTTCGAGACTGGGCCTTATCTGCCCTAGGATAGGGAGTCGTGCAACACCAGCTGCTTCTAAGCGGTCTCGATTCTTATTGTTGCACGAGGTCAGCACTCAAAGATGAGGTTCACGTAACCAACAGAGTATGGACATCGCCTTCTAGACCCTCTCGTAACGATGCATGATTTGTTTCAAGTGGATATCTTGCATAGACAGACTGTCCACGTTTACTATACTAAGACATGTGCATACATGTAGGAGGAAGCTTACAAGATTTTTTTCAGCAGGGCGTAAAGTTGCGCATTGGGTAGTGGTATGTTGTGTTCAATTTGTCTCAACAACAATTTTCATATACAGATTTGGAGACCAGCTGCTTGACGCTGGTGCCGTATTCCGGTGCGTGCACGACAGACAGGGAACTATGCGGGGGAAAAAAGAAACGAGAAAAAAAGTCTAGATTGTACACAGATGTGTAGATGGATGTCGTATGTAAGAACCTGCGTTTACGCTAGTCGATAAGGGGTTATGACCACAGAAGCCATCGAGCCGGAGCCGACCGATCCCGTGGTATGCCATCTGCCATCATGGTACCGGAAAAATACGGCTATGTAATGTGAGTGAAAAATTCCATCTCATAAGTTGCAACGTAACCTGTCTTTGTCTAAGACTTCGTGTTCTCGAGTAGGTATCCTCATTCTTGCAGTAGTTAATAGTTCTAGCCAGCTTGGTATTCGTCTCGGTCGAAGCGAGCAACAAGTTCCACGTGGGAGACCATAAAAAAAGGGGAGGGGGGGGGTGTTTGCACAAGCTGAATGTTACTTCAGCCGCAGTAGACCGGATACCTTACGCAACATCAAGCATGGCATGGGGATTGTGGAATCGTATTCTGAACTTTCCCATCCTTGGACCCATGTGCTAGATTCGTGTATCGTCAGCACTATAGGTCGGGACGGAAAGGCTGTGCTTGCTTGTACGTATCCTTAATCCCTGATCTCCTGTGCCGTTGACACTTGCTTGGTTCCTGACCTGGCTTACACGAGTTGGTGGAAACGGTATGACAAAAGGCATAGGCAGCCAAAAGCGATTATAGCCGACATCCACAATTCCAATGTCAATGGTAACAATCAATGGTTATCGCATTAGGTATCTGCGTGGTTGAGGTTTGGCCAGACTGCATTTGTACATATGGGCTGTACGGGCTGCCTCCCGATTCCCACAGATATACATGCGGATGCTCAATTGCCGATCGGATATCTAGCACAGATCGATCGAAGAAATATGTCTATGTAATATGTACATACGTATATAAAATACTTCTGATTGGTTGATTCAAAACAATGTATAGTCGGCTTCTGTATCCGTGACTTCGGCTCGACAAGTATATTCGCGGACCAAGTATAAGGTATTCATCAGGTAACCCGCCGATTCAACAAGAACGAA